CTAATGATCGTGCAAAATCTGAAACTCGCGAGATTTTCCTTTACGCTTTCGTTCCCAGAATCGGAGAACATGAAACTAGGGAATCCTTTGATTCAATTCTGGCCTGAATTACGTTACTTGTTGCATCTGAAAAGCACTATGTTGTCTTGGCAACGGGTCTTTAGAGCCGGGGGTTTAGAGTGACCCAGTCACGTCGCCTCGCCTGCTTTTCACATCATTAACTTCGGAAACGTATCCGAGATTAATTGTTCTCGCTCGTCATGTTATTGTATTTGACGATAATAGAAATCCATAATGTCCCACAATAATTACATTAATAATGCCTTCAATTGTGACTGTTCCAACCAAACAATTCAGTGGTCTCACGTAAAATTAATGAACTCTCCAGAAGTTGAATCACAAAGTTATGGAAAATAAATGAAATAGTTCACTTGAGAAGAAGCATTTTCCTCCATTCATTCGAATTCATATCGAAGAGAAAATTAACATTTTGGGTTAGGTTAGGTCCAAAGTGAGTGGGTCTATTCGACCCTCCATCGCAACCCGCAAAGGTTTATTGTGGCTCACACCTATTCACACTCGACCAAATGAGTCTGTATGGTGAGGAGTCTTTCAGGTCAGATGGTAAGAGTACGGCTCTGCCGAACTCTAAAAACCTGATTCGACCCCAGCGGGGCAGGCACGAAGAATGTGCTTTGCTGTTTGGAATTTCCCAAACAGACTGTCTTCCGACAGTCCGAGTCTCTGCATATAATGATTCAAATGACAGTTACCTGTTGGAAGGCCTGTTAGACATCGTAGTTCATCCCTACTGTAGTCCAACAACTGTTTGGTATCAAGCTTTGAAGGGTGAATAAACGCCTTGAAGTAAGCCAATCCTGGAAGACTCTGCCAGAAGTCCATTAATCTTCTTGCCATCCAGGTGTTCAATCTGTGTTTGGCAAATCCTAAAGCGATGCCAATGATAGGTTCTGATCCGATGAAGCTGCTTGCAAAGCTCCCTTTGCAAAGGAGTTGACAACCTCATCGCCTTCCAGGCCAGTATAGCGAGAAATCCAGACCAGAGACAATCTGTTGAGTCTTCCTCTCGAGGAGAGTCGTTTTTGGCGATTTGCTACCAATTTATATGTTGCTCGGTAGGAGCCAAGAGCTTCCAACGCCGCTTGACTGTCCTAGAATATTTTTATTGACTTGTGTGTGAGGTTAGATTCTTCCAATCTCTCCGCACACAATTCATTAGAGTAAATTTCCGCCTTAAATACAGACGCATAGGTTCCTAGGCAGGTTGATATCTCTGTCCTGGGTCTGCGATTAAAAACACCTGCACCAGAACCGGTAGGTGTTTTTGATCCATCTGTGAACCAACAACTATCTGCTCTTAATATTTCCTTTTCCAGGAGGATCCAGCCCTTTCTACTCGGGAGCAGTACTTTATAAGGCAGTTCGTAGTTGACAGTTGAAGTCAGAGGTCATTTCCAGAATGCTGTGACTTCCAGTGTCAACCAACAGTCTGTTGCACGCTGCATTTTGAGCATTCACTAATTAAATTTCAGTTTCTTTGTTGGGAACCTTAAGTACATTCACTATACTTATAGATGATAATTTGTTTGGTATAAAATAACTCTAAACCTGAGAGAATACATCACTCTCGCCACTGAGCAACGCCTACTCCTCTCATTATATCCAGAAACTATTAGCATTGAATAGGTACGGCGAGGCAGGTTATTGTTTCAATTTTGAACCTTAAAGAGTATCATCCAACTCAGGTCTTAGATTTCTGGAATATATGAAAGACAATTGATAGTATCTTCAATACCTCAGTCTACTCAATGGGGGATAATTATATTCCCGACTAGGAGAAGCCTGAATCCATCAATAATTTGTCCCAGTCTGCACCTACCAACATAATGCTGCATTACGAAAGTTTTAATACTATTTCTGGCACTTCTGAGGTATTGACGTGATATCAGTATTGTCTTTCGCTCCATAGGATATCTTCAACGTCGTTGAGAATAAGAGGTGCTAAATTTATTGTAACTTGCCCCCTCAGAGAGATATAAACTGATGAGCCTCATGTAGTCCTTCTGGAATACCAAAGTGAGGTCAAAGGCGTCGAAAAATTTTCCGATCGGGGTGAGTCGAATATCTCACATATTCGGGTGAATCAAGATTCACTATTCAAACTTCAAACTATGAGACTCTTCGAGCATTGCCCTAAATTGACAGAAATATCAGCCATACGAAAGTAGAAGGCTATCCTTATTGGTTCACCTCATCTTCCCAAGTTCCACGATTCTCAGATCTAGTAATCACTGACTCCAGAGTTGAGGGGAGTATTTTCGACCGAATGAATTGGTGTTTCGTGTGTGAGTCTTCACAAGTAACCCCGGAACGAGTAAATGAATAAATCATATACACAAACAAAGTTTGAATTTCAATGCAACCCAAGTCTAACTCGACCTTACCTAGACACCAATCGACCTAAAAACAATTGCTCAAAATCAGTCGCCAAGCTGAATGTACCTTGAATCCAACCCAACCTGAACCCTAAGCATCCATTTCATTTTCACAGTTGAAATTTTCTTTCATGAACTCAACATGTAACGTCATGTGTCGTGTAACTTTTTCAATGTGCTTCATCAGGGATTTTCATGGAAAAGTTATTGTCTGATTTCTGTATGAGGAAATCAAAATATGAATATAAAACAACAAATGCTCAAAATCGGTCGCTAAGCTCAATCTGAATAAAATTCCAATGATTGGAAATCGATTCCGCAGTTGTATCACCAACAGCATTTTCATGAATAACTTCAGTGAAGAATCCTGCACTGACACCTGTCGGATATAATTCAAGGCTCTTTGTGGTATCAGCCAGTTTTCTGATAGGTGTCAGTCCATCAACCTACAGTGTAGGTGAGTAGAGACTGGCCTGAACGAATTGTTCTTGTAGATAATTTGATTTATAGCCAGTCTTCAAGTACGCCCACTTACTTCATGATATGAGTTTGGATACCTCGTTCACAGGTAGATGGGGCGATGACAAACATGTTGTTTGTGTTCGATTCAGCCTAGTTCGAAGAATGGTGCTCTGAAGAAATTCGATATTCAAATATGAAAAATCATCGATTTTATGTTAATGATAGACATAACCTTGCACTGACGAGTGGCCAAACAGCCCGAAACCGGTCTGCAAGTGTGTTCCAATAATTGAATCTTCAGTGAAGAAACCTGCACTGAAACCTGTCGGATATGATCCAACGCCCTTCGCGGTATTAGCCAGGGGAGTAATTGTTTTATGATAGGTTCCAATCCATTAACCTACAGTGTAGGTAAGTGAAGACTGGCCTGAATGAATTGTTTTCGTAGATAATCTAATCAATCATCTCATTCTCACAGTTGAGATTTTCTTTCATAGGCTTAACGTATAATATCAAAACTCGTTATGACATTTTAAGTGTTTGTCATCGGAATTGTCACGATAGACTTTTTGCCCTATTTTTATGGAGAACTGAAAATTATAAATATCGATGAAATCGGTCGTGAGCACTAAAGTGAATGTTGGGCAATTTTTCTTCCAGTTAGTATTTAGAAGAAATTCCTTCGTGTAACCCTGACATCTCCCGTGGGTTGGGCTACTTATCGGGCGCGTACCCAGATGGCGGATAGAGGAACGGCCAGGGGATAGGAGGCCCTATCCGGGAAGCCAATGTGGCCTTACGGACGGGGTCGCCGGACTCCTGGACAGTGGCAAAAATAATTAGAGTGAGGGGAACTGAAACCCCCCAAAAGCGTTTGCAAAACATGCCACCGTGGACCAGCCTACCCAAGCTAAGGTGTAAGGAATCGTGCCGACAGCTGAATGGCCGTACGGTGATATGAGGTCACGAACGATCCCTTTGGGGAATTGGGTAAAAACTCATTGTAATCAGTCTACCTCTGGTAGACTGCGGGGCTCTGCTAGAGGTGACCAACTCTTCCCTTGCTACTCGTGGGAACACACATGAATGAAACAACACAAAAACAGAAACAACAAAAACCAATCCCGAGGCTGGACAGAAATGATCACCTCAATCTTAGACGGTGACTGGGAATGAATAGAAATATCCATCCCAATATACCGCTTAGAATGAGGCTGGACATAGCAGATCACCTCCAACAGCAAGGGCACTTCCTGCGGCGTGTGCCAAGAGCTCCGCCTTGAATAAAGGCAAGGAACCGGCTGCCCCTGGAGAAAAGCTCCCTCACTTATGCACCTCCACGGAGGGAACCCCAAGAAGGTTGAAAAACTCGCGCAACGACATTAATATCGCTGCACCTTCCAAAACATTCGTGGAGGCAACCGTGAGACACCTCAAGGTTGCTTAAGAGAGTGTGTGTTCGGCGAGTCTTGGCCTGCACCTGCCAATATAAAGGAGATATCTCCTAGTGACCTGTTCACCTTCTTGGAAAGGACAGGATGGACGATGGTCTAGGAGGACAACTCCTCGGGAGAATGTACAGTGGGTCACATGTGGCCTAAGTGCTGTGAGTCTACACTCACCCTCCCTACTCTACAGATACAGAACGCTGACATCTCTGTAAAGATTTTTTGTTGCCGTATCAAATTTTTGTTTTTCCTTTCTTCAGCAGCTTCCCACTTTCTTTCCAATGATGGAGAAGTAGAAAGCCTGAAAGATTTTTTCTGAAATTAATTAGTTACGTGTTAGGAATCACACGTTGAAAGGTGAGACCTCGTTAGTCCTCAGCTCGCACAAGTTTCTCAACTTCTGAAAGTTGTCGTTTGTATGGGGGCGACAGCTGATTAACGGAAAAACAGATTTTAAACAGATTTCAAACATGTACTGAATTCAAGTTACAGATATTCTATATCGCTGAGTGTAAATGAACAGTTCAAGAGTCATATGAATACGTAGTTTTTCATGTATCTCTATTTACATTTCTGAATAACTCCTATATTGTTAAAACGTCTCGTAACGTCGCCATGTCTCCAATGAGAAAACCTCTGTCACCAAGTTGTCATTAAATTTTTGACAGTGATGTGCCAAAGAAATAACTCGAAATTATGGTTGTGAAAATTTTCTGTTTTTAAAATACTACTAACCATGGGAAAATTCCTATCCGTTTACTTCGCCTTCGCTGCTATCTCAATGAACGTTCATATTTTCAGAGAAAATCAAATTACTGGACCGGGGCCGTTGATATCAACTTACATATTTTTATTTGCCTTCGTTTTGTTATTGTGGGATCTCACCCTTTATCCCAAATCACTGCGGACGCTTGGAACCATAACACAATTCGCCATCGAGGTGAGTCGTTAAATTCGTATATTTCTCCATAAAGTATAGATTAATGGGCTTGTTTCATACTATTGAAAATGATACTGGTTTTCTTATAGACTGATCTAGTTAGGGATATAGTATACGTATCGAGCCTAATCGGTCCCAATACCTCTTTATATTTGCAGAAATAAGAAAACTTCGAGAAGCAAGAGTTTAAATTGGCCGCGTGTCTGTTGACCAATAAAATTGATCGTGTCTACAGGGGTGTTGCCAAGTGTCAATTATTTTAACAAAAATACGAAGTTATGAAACATTACAAAGAGTACATTGTCTCATACATTCAAGAGAGATAGCTGACCGAGTGGCAATATGACTAGTATATAACGTTGAATTTCTTATTTCTGGTGGGTGGCATGAATGCATAATTGATTTATTTTATTAGAGTTCATGAGCCTTCGAGAACCATTTAAAAATGTAGCTGGTTAAATTCTATTTAGAACCATGGTTTTCGAGTACATTTTATTTCATATGTAGAATTTTTTCATGAATTTAAACTTTAACGGGTTCATATACACTTCCATTATTAAAATTTCTGTGATATCAACAGGAAAATGTCTAGTGCCGGAGATATTTCAAAAATAACGTTTTTATTGCGTTTTGTGTTATTTGGACCCCATGTATGATCAATTATCCATTCCAATGCATTTCTTACACTTTCTTTTTAGATTTAGTTGTCGGAAGTGAGTGTGATTTTACTTTGAATCACGAAACAATCAGAAACTGTTTATACGCTCCGTGAATTTTACAATTTGGCAATGTTTATTATTTTTAGTGTTCGAAAAAGAAGCGAGATTAGGCCCGTGCCGTTACGGGCCTAGAAATTCCGAATTTTAATAAATAATCACAGAAAAACAACGCTATATAGAGATCTGAAACAAAATACACTATTTTTCAATTTAAAATCACTAACAAATGAACTGTAAACCAAAAATCATGAAACAAGCCCATTATTGGGCAAATTGTTACAAGATATCAATAGTGAAATATCATTGATTCGTTTGTCCCATTTGGCTACCCCGATTCACCAAACTGATAATTCATTACAAGCCTTTTGTTTTGGGAACGAAAATTTTGGATTTCACGTCACCATCTTTATAGTTCATATGTGGAGAACTTCAGAAGGAAGAAAAAGGCAATTACCGCAATGCATTTGGTACAACAAAATGATTAGATGTCTTGAACAACTGATACCACTTTGGGGACTCGCTTCAACATAAAATCTGGTCAGGCTAGAGTCCAAACAGAAGGGATGTATTTCAGGGCAGTTCTCTTAGTCTCTTTTTTGCATGGCTGTTTGCACCAAATGCCCCAAAAAATGTTTGGAGCATTTGATGCAAATACACCCATGTACTTCAAGATATTTTTGGGGACTTTTTCGTCCTTCCTATTTCCACAGTATGAGAAGAAAAATATAAATGTCCAAAAATTGATCAAACGTTCACGACTCTTATGGTGATTCCTATCCGATTCTATATCTTGTATCTATACCTGATGACGTTTTCAGAACCATCGGATTGACTCTGAGGGAATAACATGTCGATTTTATTTCTTTAGTTTAACAAAAAACTTGAAATTTGAGAGTAATCGAAACATGACTTTGACATATTTGACATCATTACAGTTTATTGTATCATCAAATCAAATTAACTCTCCAAATGTTTGTTTTCTTTTTCAATATTCTTTCTCCATATTTTATTGATTTTCTACCAGAATAAGAGAGAGATACTAAAGTCATAAATAATCACCTTCGCTATCGGCTTGGATTGGAATATATATAGGGTTTTCCAATAGTGACTTTCGAACTTTGACAATTGATAACAGACATCTTGTTGAAGCTGCATGTCTCAAATAAATCTGCTATATCCGTCACCATTGACGGATATAGCAGGACTATTCATGGTGGATGAATTTGAATCCACTGGGTCAGTGTAAATGGTCGACGAAACGCAAAATCTGCCGAAAACATCGTCGCTGTATGTGAGAATCCGAGGCAGTTGTTTACGTCTCGCTCACAAGAACTCGGCCATCGACATACCACAACTTGGCTAATTTTGCATCGTGATATGGACTTGCACCCGTACAAAATTCAACTGATCCAGGAACTGAAGGTAAACGACTATAAACAACAAAGTGTGTTCGCTAAATGGGCTCTAGAGCAGTTGTAAACTGACACTAATTTTCATTAAAAAATCATTATCAGCGATGAGGCCCATTTCTGGGTGAATTGGTACACTAACAAACAAAATTATCGAATTTGGGACGCTACCAATCCACGTAAGATCCAAGAGCGTCCACTGTTTGGTTTGAATGTTTCTTTGAGAACGACGTTGGATAGACTATCACTGTCAATGGTCTATGATTACCAACTTCTTTTGGCCTGAATTGGATGATCTGGATACCAACAGAACGACGCTACTTGCCACACAACTCGTGCCACATTGAATATCCAGCACAGGCGATTTGAGGACATGGTCATGTCACGTGTAGGTGATGTGAACTGGCCATCGAGATCGTGCGATTTGGCCCCGTTAGGCTTTTCCTTGCGGGGTTTTTTGAGTAGCAGGTGTATGCCAGTGAGTCATTTGAACGATGTTATATCCCATACATAATGGCATCAATATTACATCACACACACACACACACACACTTTGTTTTATTCAGATGTATTTAGACTCTATATTAGGACTTATATATTGTTGGTTATAATTCAAAACGTTTGGTTCTATATTAACATTCCCACCTTCTTGTTACAGTTCCTCATTGCCACCTTCTTGACAGAATCTATCATGATTGACTTCTGGTTTCCCTTGGAGACAGTGGCGATGGATATCTTACCAAAGTCCGCAGATTTTATCGATGATATGTTGAACACTGGAGAATGGAGATGCGAAAGTCTTTGTGAAGTGTTGAGAGGGCAGGCTTTAGGTTATCTTGTTAGCTATTTGCTCAGTATGTCTTTCCTACTATCGGTGCTCCATGCGACGAGAGTGATTGATTTGAGGGCACTTGGGTAAGTATAACTGGACCAGTAGACCAGTTAATATGTGGAAAGTACAAGAACTCGAATACAAATGACCTGAAAACGTACTTGTGAATCAGTACTTTCCGTAAGGATTAACGAGGTCCCTTTAACGTACCCATTTAGAAAATCATTGCTTTGGGTTTTCCAGTAATAGTTTTCACCAAACATCTTCCACATACGCTTCTATTATATGCACTACACTTTTATTATATGCTTTTATGTTTTTTTTTTGTGTGTATATATCATGTGTATTTCTTTTATTTGTTTTGTTTTTCAGTGAAGGTCCTAGTTGCTTCTTTGCCGACATATCTTTCCGATTCAAGAAATTCTGGAGGAAATTCTGGAGACGACTGGGATTCGGCAATAAAAATGGAAGTAGCGAAATACTTGGAGATACCGATGATAACGATGATGAGCCAAGCGACAGTAGAAGATCAATCATAACTTTCAGCCAAAAGAACAAGACTAGAGTCAAAAAAACTGGTCGGCGTGGAAAACGTGAAACCTACGTCAAACGTAAAGCGTCTGTGTCTAGAGATCGCAGCAGAAGAGGTAGTCGAGCAACTTGTTCATGCCCCCCTACAAATGATCCTCCAGTTTATTCAAAATTTTCATGTAACATTCTATGAAAACATTCATTGTGAATGGGTACTGTGTGACACGTGTCTTTGGAAATGGTGTTTATAAATTCATTGTTCCGATTCCATTATCGTTTCATTTGATGATTATAAAATCCTGAAATACATGTAATGACAATTTTGAAAAATTACACTTTCAAAAACTTAAATTGTTTAACTTAATCTTAATCTTCAATAGTTAAACATTTCTTTGACAGAGCTTTCTGTAGATATTAGAATTGAAAATATCCAACTCGCTTCAACAAAGCAATATGCTGATGCTGATGACAGCATACTTGTCTCGTCATTCCATTTGGATTCCAGGACATCGGCTGCGGATGCAAATCTTCACCGGCAGCAGGAGATTGCATATGCTAATGAGGATTTAGAAGTGATTTCGAATTGGAGTGAAAGTAACCAAGGTCATTTCGATGCCACAAAAACCCAGGCATCGGTTTTTTCCAAAAAGATAAATGTCTCTGAACCGGTTATATTAATCTCAAGATAGACAATTCGGCTTTCTACTTCGATGAGTTTGTTGGGCTTTAACTGGACACCAATATGTCTTGGAACAATCATGTCGCTAGAATTGCAAAGGCTGCTTCTCAAAAGCTTGGAACACTGTTCCGAACCAGAAAACTGTACACACCTCAGCAACTTTTGATGCTTAATGGAGCTCAGATCAGACCTTCTTTGGAGTATTGTTCTCATGCATGGAGCTCTGCCCCTAAACATACCCTGAAGTTGCTGGAGTCCATCCAGAAAAGAGCCATCCGCCTGATTGGGGACGCGAACATCACGTGCAACCTTAATAGCCTGGAACATCGAAGAATGGTTAGAGATTTGTGTCTCTTTTATAGATACTTTCACGGGTAGTGTTCAAGTGACTTGGCACTTTTGATTCCACTAAGAGCGGTACATATCGGAAATACGCGACAGACTGTGGCTACTCATCGCTTTGGGGTTCAACTCAGTACACCTCGAACGTTACTGTTTGAGAACTCTTCCATTTGAAGAACTGCGTTTATGTGGAATGAACTTCCTGAGAACGTTTTTCCAAATGAATTCAATCTCCATCCATTCAAATTCAACGTGAATCGCAACTTTCGCAAAGCACTGCTCTTAGAACGACTTGAGGATTTTTCTGTAGTGCTTGTGTTTTGTCCTCGAGGAATAAATCGTAAATACTGTTACATGTTCATTTTTACATCGATGTCGTCCCAGAATTCAGTAAATACGCGATATTTTCGTCATGAAAAGAGCAGAAATAAAACTGAATCAGCTTGTAGGGACGTTAAAATGTCCTTCTGAGAACATCGTTGACATCATCTTCTGTTATGTACTTCTGATGCACTGTTTGGAACCTTTGGTGTAGTATTGAATATTACTGGAGTTTTTTTCCCAACACCAAACCGTTATTTTAGCACCTCAAGATGAGTTTTGATCCCCAAATGATCATCTTCAAGAGAAAGATTAAACTTCTACTTGAAGATGATAATTTGGTGATCGAAACGTGTCGAAGTGTTGAAATAACGGTTTGGGATAAACGGTTTGGGATAAAACTCCAGTAATAACGTGAGCAAATGCGGCACCCAACTCGCGGACAACTTTCTCATGTCTAAATGTTGATGAAATATGTGACAAACACGTTCTTTTCACATGTTCGTAACCTCTGCTATGTCTGTAACTTTTATTTAATATTTATTCAGCGATCACCTAGCACCAATTGATAAACTTTGGCGATGTTTCCGTACATAATTTCGTTAGAGATCTGTAAAAATGAAAATGCTTCTAACTTTCATTTCAATGGATTCGATTTCAGAACAAAGGAAATTGACCACTTCATGATATTCCACGTCCCGTAGGTGACTCTCAAAGTGTCAAAATTAAAGTGTCAGTCAAATATGTTTCAAATCATCAGTTCAAAAACAAATCATGGGAAAATTACTAGCAGTAGCACTAGCACTCATATTGGTATGTAATGGTCAACAAATATTTCGAGAAACTGTTCCAATCGAGGCAGGTCCATTGCTATCTCTTTACACATTCATGGCTGCCATATTCCTATTGCTGTACGATTTGAGATTGTATCCCACATCTTTGAGAAAATTGGACGGATTTGGACAAACTTTTATAGAGGTAAGTATTGGATTTTTCAACTTGAAGAGATTCACTTTCAAAAAATCCCATTTGAAGATTCGAAAAACTTTTTCAATTTAGGTTTATTAACGCCTCTACTTCACTGTCTGTTGTAATTGAAATAATGAAATATATGTATCACTTAAAAATTTCCAGACCATATAGTTCAGCTTCTTTTTGATAAAAATGTTACCAAAAACAACCAACAGTGAGTAAAATCAACTTTATCTTTGACACTACATTGGTACGACCAATCAGCCCTACATCCTTCCTGTTGAAAGGACTTGAGAAGATACTGGACGGACACATCAGGAGGGTGGCATTATATGCATCCTCCCTGAATAACCACCGTGATGCTTATCAAACCGGCAAATCGACAGAATTAGCAATAAACAAACTTGTAAAGAAAATCTCTCAATTCCTTGACAACAAGGAGATTGCGGAGGCCGTATTTCTCGATATTGAAGGAGCATTTGACAATGCACTACCTAAATCTATATAGGATCATCTCTGGCTAGGAAAGGTATAGAATCGACCGTAACTGGCTGGATTTATGCCATGCTGGTAAACAGAACTGCAACCACGACTCCTCAAGGCGAGCCCTTAGGTTCAGGGTCAACAGAGGCTGCCCTCAAGGTGGGGTACTATATCCCCTTTTGTGGCCGCTCCTGATGTATAGTGTGCTTGATGCCCTCGACAGAAGAAAAGTAGATTTGCAAGCTTATGCAGATGACCTCGTCATCTTGGCAAGGTCCACGTCGAGAAGAGTAGCTCGTAATAGCATCCAAAGCACGTTGGACGTTGTTCACAGTTGGGGCCTGAGGTAGCAGATGTCTGTCAACTTGTGATAATCCCATTCACCAGGAGAAGAACATTGGACGATCTAACATCACTTTCCCTCAATGGTGAGGTCATTCCATTTGGAACGGAGGTGGAATATCTTGGCATTGTCCTTGATGAAAAAACTCACCTGGAACGCTGACTTGGAAAAAGTTTTACACAAAGCTAGACTGTCTCTATCGACATGTTGAAGGATTTGTGATAAAACTTGTGGTTAAGGTCCCAAACAAATTCATTGGATTTATGTGATTATTATCAGATCAATGATCAGGTATGATGCAATTGCCTGGTGTCCGAAGGCTTTACAGAAAACTGTCTAGGCGAAGGTATCTGGCTTACATCAGTCCCACACCGCCATGGAGGTCCTTCTAGATCTACCTCCCCTCCATATTTTTCTGGAGAGAGATGCTAGATGGACTGCATATAGACTTGTGCACATTGCCAATTGCACAAATCAATTTAATGCAGAGTGCAACAGAGTGTTGGTTGGCACTGGAAGTCACAGCATTCTGGAAATGACCTCTGACTTTATGCCTCTAACTGTCAACTACGAACTGGTTCACAGATGGATCAAAAACACCTTCCGCTTCCGGTGCAGGTGTATTCAGTTGCAGACCTAGGACAGAGATATCAACCTGCCTAGGAACCTGTGCGACTGTATATCAAGCGGAAATTCACGCTCTTGAATTGTGTGCGTAGAGATTGGAAGAATCCAACCTCATACACAAGGCAATACAAATATTCTTAGGTAGTCAAGGGACTTTGGAAACTCTTGTCCCCCACCGAGCAACGTCTAAATTGGTAGCAAATTGCCAAAAACGATTCTCTTCGATAGGAAGGCTCAACAGGTTGTCTCTGTTCTGGATTCTTGGCCATACTGGCCTGGAAGGCAATGAGGCTGCTAACTCCTTTGCAAAGGAGGGTGCTGCAAGCAGCTTCATCAAACCAGAACCTTTCATTGGCATCGCTTTAGGCTTTGTCAAACAAAGATTGAACACCTGGATGACAAGAAGATTTATGAATCTTCCAGGATTGGCTCACTCCAAGGCGTTTGTT